GTTCATAACCACCCAGAATATAATAGGGATAGTGACTGCAAAAAACGGAACATATTACACTTTTTGAAACCAAAACTCAACGATTCGTTTCAAAACAAAAAAAAATATTTAAAGGAAATTTATCTCCGTGATTGCTGAATGTTAAAATAATTTTTATCACATCGATTAAATCAATATTTAGGTATGAAATAGCAATTAGTTTTTTTCGTTTCTGTACAATTTATTATCATTTTCCCCGTACTGTACATCAGATGACATTTGACGATCAATAATAATAATTATTACTATCATTATTGTTAATGTCGTTTCTACTATCAGTATTATTATTATTACTATCATTACTATTCATAGTAGTAGTAGTAGTAGTGTGATGCGTGCTACTTATATTGATATAAGTAGTATATGACGCGAGTCAGGAATGTAATGTCCGGCAGCAGAAGATGGGGAAGATCAAGAAAGGACGAGCGGGAATAGAAAGCAATTAGTATGAAAATGCAAGAACAACGAGGTTCGAGACAATTATTGAACATTTTATAAATTAAGTATAATAGTATGGTTTTTCTATTTTACCAAGTAACTCTGTAATTTTGCGCTGAATATAATTCGGTTGTCCTCACCTGTGTTCTCCTTCACTACAGTAGTAGTAGTACTAGTAGTATTAACTGTATTAAAATACATATATTACAATTTACTTTCCCCAAAATCACTTCAACTTATTGAATGATACTGGATGTTCTCAAAAATCAATTATAACCTAATCTGTCATTATTGAAGTTCATTTATAAATAACAGTAGAATATAATATACAATTTCAAAGTAGTCATTAATTGCAGCAATAGAGAAGAAAAACGATCACAGTTGAAATATTTGAAAATTTCAATGTTTTTTATTTACCATGGAAACCTGAATAAATAAACACGTGCTTAATATGATTATAGTGAAAATCTAGTTAAAAAAACAAAGATGTTTTACTAAAACAATGTCTAATAACTTTATATTAAAATCATCTGTATAGTTTTAACTTTATATTTTATATTACTGTAAGGGATTTACAAATTTAATGGACAGAACATTTGATCAGATCGTATGTATTTGTGATCAACAAAATTTTTGTAGATGAAAACTTGTTTTAGTAATTATTTATTCTCCGTCAAGTGTGATTCGATTGTTGCATGCTGTGTTGTGTTGGAGAATCTTGCCTTTCCCTTTGTGTATATTGAGATCTACTGCTGCTCAGGCTACTGCTACACTGGTCGCCTTCTCCTGCATTTGTTGTTGTGTGTTCGATAGAAGAGCCAGAACATCTGAGAAGTCTAGGTCGTCTAGCTGCATCCAAACTGTTCACTGTATCCCATGCTTCCCCTCATATGTTGACGTCTTCATGGTCCATTCAATCACCAGGAGAAAGAGAGAGAGTGTGAGAGTGAGTAACCTTACCTGACACCAGTCTTTACTTCGAACGAGTCTGTGAGCTGTCCTCCATGCACGATTTTGCAGTTGAATCCATCATAGGAATTCCGTATGATATTGACTATCTTCTGAGGCACGCCGCAGTATCAAAGAAGCTTCCATATTGTTGTTTTTTCCACGCTATCAAATGCTTTTCCGTAGTCAATGAAGTTGATTTAGATTGATGAATTACATTCAATTGATTTTATCTACAGCGATCTGTAATTTTGCAATTTGGTCCGTACACGATCTAATCTTACGGAATCCTGCCTGTTGGTCTCGCAGTTGGGCGTCTACGGAGTCCTTCATCCTGTTTAACAATATCCTGTTGAAGACTTTTCTTGGTATTGAGAGAAGAGTGATGCTTCATTAGTTCTCACACTTTCTGAAACCGCATTTCTTTGGTACCTTGATCAGATGTCTTTATTTTCAGTCTGTTGATTTCGTTTTGCTGGAGCGATTGGGATAAAAAAAAACTTAAACCTGATCTATGTGTTCAAAACGAGACAGTAATAAACCTGTCTCCAACTTGGTAATTCAGTTTTTGGTCATTTGTTTTATTTTTGTTAATGTTTGGTTTTTTTTTATATTGCTCTTCCACTACCGAATTCTTATTTTGTGTAAATTCAAGTCAGCCCTTTCACCCATACATTTCTACTCACTCAATTCGCTTAAATTATGTGAACTCTTCAAATACTGTTCAATTATTACGCAACCCATCTTACCAGTTTTTTTAATTCCAGAAATATTGTGCAAACTCTTAATTGTCCCGAAAATTATCAAACAATTTATCCTATCTGTCTCTGAACTTCACTCCATTATTACATCACCCATTCCTCATGTTTTTTTTATTCTAACAACAAATAACCTCCAGCCCGTTGTTGCATATATATAAATATATGTCATTCCACTTCATTTCATCCACTTATGTCAATTGTTTCACACTTTATGTTACCTCAATGTAAATGATGACAGATATTTGGTTGTAAGCAGGTGATGCGAAACCACGAAATATAATGAATTCATATTATTTTGCATCCATGTTCGTTCTGGCTTTATTATAAAGGGAACTCATTGCATTCAATTTAGAATATTTGCTTTTTTTTAACAACTGAATGAAAGAAAATATCCCTTGATCTAACGTCTTTCTTTACAATAGAATTAAAAAGTATATCAATAGTTTTAGTCTAATATCACCATAATTTAATTACATGCTTATTATTCAATAAAATACACAAGTATTTTATATTGCATAATATCCGAAAATGCATTAGTTATTATTTCTTAATAAATGCTTCCGATTCTTTTTTACCTTATAGAACTCTATACATAAAACAATTGTGATATCGGAAATTTTGGATGAATAAAACCCAATGCTAGACAGTTACATTTTTTTATGATACATGATATAATGGAAAGAAAAGTCAATTTTCGATTGATTTACTCAATATGAGATTTGTTCAAGATTAATTCCGTTTTGATTCAATGCAATGATTACTGAATGTAGTATTTGTTTTCTTTACTCGTATGATATTTTATTCTGTATTATATGCGATATTCTTGTATTCAATTGACATGAACTATGCTTAGTATGTGATTTGTTATAACTCTAAGTATTTTTCATATATGTGATTTCATCGTAATTATTAATCAAAATGGGTGTACAATCAATATATAAATGAGTGTATTTTCTACTAGAGTTGTCGTCGTCGTCGTGTTTTGGGGCTAATAAATCTTCACTTATACCAGTCTTTGTGTTCTTACTTTCGCGTTGTGCGAACTGCATAGGTCCCTCGTTCCGAGTATAATTGATAAGCGTTTCCGATATAACAATCAGCGACGACAGATACAAAAAGTAGCATTAAAAGAGCCAAGACAATAAGCTTTCAAACCACAAATTATAACAATACGCTAACACTCTTAAGATTTTATGTCATTTCATTTTATTTATTTGAACACATAAATATTGGTACAAGGGAGCACCATATATATATATATATATATATATATATATATATATATATATATGATTTACAACAGTGAAATAATACTCATCAAGTGGCTACATTACGTAATAATTCCATAATGACATTTCCATTATAAATTAACATTAAGTAATTGGAAGAAAGATGATTAACAATATTCGGAGTAATTAGTTGCTACGTTGCATAATATATAAAAAAGAGAAGGAACAGAATATTTTAATGGATGATCAATAGAATATTGGTTGCGTAAGAATCAAGAGATGAATGTTGAAAGAATTACAAAGTCAAAAAACCGAATGGAAGAAGTGCGAAAAATAGTTCTGCTGAAAGAAATCTCAATTCGTTCCTTCTTTATTTTCCAAATGTCAAAATGGGGACTTTCACAATAATAAATAAATTCATTTATTAAGGCCAAAGGAGAGATAAGGGTGTTATAAATTTCTTATGAACACAAAAACTTGGATTGTTAGCTCAAATTCCTATAGCTTCTATGTGTAAGAGACGAGATCAAATACCATTAGGAAAACTAGTAGGAATACGATGAACTCATAAACTACCTTGATTGAAGTAATAATTTCGTACATGCATATAAATATTACTGTATATTAGAGTAAAGCCTAATGAGTGTCTAATCGAAAACAATATTGTTCGCTTATATATATAGTTCTGTATTTAAATATACTGCTGAAAAGTCCCACAACAGCACGAAACGGCCGTCCAATGCGTCCAGTTTTTCAATGGTGGTCTAACATCAATCGGATCATGATCTCAATCAAAAGCTTAACGATCTCCACAACCCCTATACTGATAATTACCATGTGCTCACTAGTGACTAGCTTCGTGAGAAAATTCTCGGAGTTCTGGTGAGAAGCTATGAGCAGTGGAGCTAGTCCGTGTCGGGTAGAAACAGGTGTCTACCTCAGTACAATGGAAGATGGTTGCGCGACTTCGTGGATTAGTTGGGGTTAGACATTAACACCACTGCACGCCAACTCAGTGGTCCAGTAGGTTAAGCGTTCACACGCGAGACTGGAGGCCCTGGGTTCAAATCCCTTGGGGGGATCGTGGATGCGCACTGCTGAGGAGTCCCACAATAGGACGAATCGACCGCCCATTGCTTCCAGGTTCTCAATGGTGGTCTAACATTGACCCATTCATGATTTCAATCAAAAAATATTATTATGGAATTTATTTACTGAATTTCTACTGGTTATTTAATACAACTCAACTATACTATGAACCTATAATCTATCATTTATATCTAACCAATAAATATCGAGATAGCATTTCGTTAGTTTTTTTTTGATAAAAAATAATTCATTCTTACGTAATTTAGTGAAATTATCATTTCAAATGTCAAACTGTCGACCAGTACATTTTTTTAACAAATCATTTACAAATTAACATTGATAAGTTTGTTTGTTTGTTTGTTTTTATACATAAACCTAACTACATAGATTTTATGAAAAATATTTAATCACGTAATTTTAGTTGCTATGACAATAATGGTATATTATTATTATTCAGAACAATAACTAGTAATCTATATTCAAGTATACATAAACTATGACAATAGAATTAAATCAAACTGTTGAATATACCAATGAATTTTTAAATTTTTTACCTTATAAATCTACATGTTCAGAAGTTTGTTCAAATACCTGTAAGAATATGCCTAAAGAGAATGAATTAAAAACAAAAAAATTAGTAAGTTTTATGTATAATTTGTCATTATGAAGTGATTCTTGGTTAAATACCTGTTTATAATTAAAGAATTCAAAATCATTTACAATTAGAGATTATCAGAATGGGTTTCGTGGAAATTTTTAGAAATTTCACAGGTTAAAATCATGAGTCAATTGAAGCTAGACCACCATGGAAAGCCTGGAAGCACTGGACAGCCGTTTCGTCCCAGTATGGGACTCCTCAGCAGTGCGCATCCACGATCCCGCCTCCCGCGGGTTTCGAACTCAGGACCTACTGGTTTTGCGCGCGAGCACTTATTCACTAGACCACTAAGCCGGCATCCAATGGTGTTAATGTCTAACTCCAACCAATCCACGAAGTTGCGCACTGCTGAGGAGTCCCATACTAGGACGAAACGGCTGTCCAGTGCTTCCAGGTTTCCCATGATGGTCTAGCTTCAATCAACTCATGATTTCAACCTGTGAAATTAAAGATTAATTGTTTCACTAAAACCTTGGTGTATCAATCATTGTTTAACATTGTTTTTTAAGACTTAAAAGATTGATTTTATTATGGAATAAACATCATTTGATATCTTACTAATTACGTTTAAAATTTAGGCAGTTGTGTATTGATCGGGAACTCATTGGGTGGGGGGTGGGAGAAGATCACCTTATTTACACATTTCCAATAAACCAGAAAGTTTAATTTACTTTTACAATACAGTCTTTTATAGCATAATATATTCGAATGCATAGATTTAATCATTTCATTATTTGTATAGGATACGGTTACGAATCTGTTAAGGTTCGTTTTTTAATTTTATTCATCTAAAGTGTTTATGTAGACAATTATTAAATGATTTCTAGTCCATTTTGTTACTTTTATTTTTGTGTTATTGTAAATAATCGAAGTTAAACTTATTATTTATGATTAAAAAACTAAATACTACTTGTTTACAAAACTACCGTAGTGTGTTCTAATGATGTTGACAGATATAAGTAGTATATATCACCAATTGAAAGTGAAATGCCTGGTGGCAGAAGGTTAAGAAGATCGAAGGAAAGAGAACGAGAACAGAGAATGTTTGATGTGGAAACGAAGGGACAATCAAGTCTGAAACAATTGATTAAAATTTCGCAAATGAAGTATTTACTGTATGGTTCTCAGATTTTACTACGAGATTCTGTAATTGAGTGTCCAAATCCATTTAATTGTCCATAATGATGTTGTCGTTTACTATATTATGATCAATTTTAAGTTAAGATAAAGAGATTAACATTAGCATTGAAAGTATACTTTAATCATAAATTAAAAAAACAATATTAGTAATATTAGTATTATTTGTGGAATGCTGTCGTTTAATTTTTCTGTCACTTAAAGTAGGACGAGTTACTTGTAAAACATTGCCATTTGTTTAAAAGTCCCCTAGTTAATACCTTGTCATACTTTTATCTATCTTTAAACTTATTTATGCAAGTTATCTTGCTAAATCATAAACCGATCTTCTCATAAATTTACGATCATATAGAATGTACATTTAAATCAAGATTAATAACAGTATGGGGATTTGTGGAGATTGTTTTCAAAGGTGTTCTAGATTAGATCAACTAGTGATCGCAACTTTGAAAATGCTACAATCTCCACAAATCCCTATACTCATAATAATCGTGTGCTCATTAGTGATTAGCTTCAGAATGGATTTCCTGAAGTTCTATTGAGAAGCCGTGACTAGTGAAGTACAATCCGTGTCGGGTTTGAGACAGTCAATCACCTTAGACAATGGATGAAGCGTTGTGCAAGATCATGGATCGCTCGAAGTTAAACATCAGCACTATTGGATGACGGCTCAGTGATCAACAGGTTAAGCGCTCTTGTGTTTCAATCCTACGTGCAGGATCGTGGATGTGCACTGATGAAGAGTCCCATAAATGGTTAAAAAGGCTATCCAGATCTTAAGGGTTTTAAACGGTGAATAGCACTCATAAGTTCTACACTAAGATAAATCAGCTCCTCGGTAACCTATATATCTCAGTGTTTGTTTTGCCATAATAAATCGGAAATGTAGACAATCTTGAGACTAAAAAATCGTCAGAAATGCGCAACCTTAAATATGCTAGTGCAACAAAAGTGAGTGAAATTGAACAAAAATGAGAATATGATATAAACAGAGTACAGACACTAAAAGATCAATATAAATTTGTCTCAAAGTTCACGTTCATCTTAAACACGTGAACTGTCAGTCAAGCAATAAAGCCAATACCGTTTAAATATGAAATTCGAAGTCTAAAATATAAATACCAACGGCTAAAAGAAGTTGGCCACAAAAGTAATAAACTTAATGAATGAAACTTAACTTGTACTTTGAACTGGACGAATGAATAAAAATATATTTTTATTACTTGATGTTTTGTTGTCTACTATATAGAATGAGCCTAGTATATCATTGGAGATTCGTTTATAAGGGGAATGCTCAGTGAGGACAGCTTATCTTGTTTTAAAACTGTAGGTAAATTAGTAGCTGTATATACATATGGATAAATTCAGTTATAACTCGTTAATAAATATGAGTTAGAAGCTTCATGTAATAAAAACTGGTATCCAGTAAATGTAACGTTTTGCAGTAATATAACCTTAACAATTCATATATTCTACCTGTAATGAGATACATTAGTACTTTTCATCTATATAAAACAGTATTTGCGTATTACAGAGTATGCATTTAAAATTCAATGCATCTTGAACTATTTACTGAATGGACTACCTTCTTACTGATATTATTGTATTCTTATTCTACTGAGTTTGCTTATCTTATCTGTATATCATACTTTTATGCGCAATTACTTCATTACATATATGAAAGTACCAATTCGTCTTATTAAAAGGACATTTGTGTAATCAATAATTTCGTATAATTGAAGCTATATACATATATATATATATTCTCAACTACTTATAGTTTTGAAAATTTTCATTACCGCCACCATTTCATTTCAAACTTAAAATATTCATAATGAATACAATAACCTGTGGTAACTACTGTGCTTTATTAATTGAAAACATTTTTCTTCCTTGATATTCTAAAGGAACAGTTGTTTATATATTTATCTCTTTTGCACGAATATATTTTAAAGCTGAGATAAATTTATTCATTAAGGGGAATAATCATATATATTAACAACTAATATACAAACAAACTTCCACTAGAAATAAAAAGACAGGTCGAAATATATATATATACAACCACTTAAATCTGTTTATTTTTGGGTTACCATTCGTGGTACTTGCAAAACAATGTCCAGAAATGTGTATTTCATGCTGTTACTGTATTATAATTAGTATATACAAATCAGCCTTCATTTATTCTCTTATTACTATTGTTATAGTGTATATTTCTAAATATCTAAAATGTGGATACTTCACATTCCAAATTATAATTGTAGCAGTTTTAATCTTATCAAAAGTTAGAAACTGCATTCATGTCCTTAAGTATTTAAGCTTTATTAATCCGAACAAATTAGTGTAAGTAAAACCATTAAGTAACGAGGTAGGATATCACATTTAAACACTTTATTAGTATTTAGTTTCCATCTGATGACCAGACATATATATATATATATATATATATATATATATATATAATGGATGGTTCAGGTGGATTCGTTTTCATAGTAAGCTGTTCTGAAATACTTCTAGGGGCTGATATTATATCAAGGCCACGTAGGTTTTTCTAGCCTCTGGACGAATAAACCTATTCATTATTCTGAAGCCTAATTTTTACCCTATCACTTATTCGCTTATTAATCATGATTGTTTTTTTATATGATCGTATGCGTGCTGATTACTCACCTTACTCATTGTGTCTATAACTTATTTTTGTTCGACTATAAAGATCAACTCATGCTTGGCTAAATTGAGTTAGCTCACTCGCCTTCTCCACTGTGCATCATTTTGTTTCGCTTCGCTTTCCGATCAACGATTGTACGAAATATACGTATTCAAAATTCATTCTGGTATTTGAATTATCTAATTCCATTATTCACGAACGCGATTTAGGTCGATGATTGTATATGATGATTGACAACATGTATATTTCGATAACAAGCAGTAAACGATCTACATGGAGTCAGATATATGGCGTTAACATTCAGATTCACGAAACAATCCAGCGACGGTTTAAACGAAGGCTTAACTCAATAATATGATGTGAATCCAGATGTATTTGTCTTTACAATATATGAGATACACTTATTTAAGGTTTACAATACGATAAGAAATAGCATCAGAAGGTCGTTATCAGACACTTTTTTCTAGTTCTTACATTAATCGATGTTCTATAGCCCTCAGAACAAGAACATATATTTTCCCCAAAATACATTTCATTATTTAGTTACTATACAAATAATCCATTGATTTGAATAATCAAACGACCATTATTTAATACGGTTCCCACTTTATTTGTAATTCTTGTCAGTAAATAACACTTGGTTGGCGAAAATCGTCTACCTCACTGTTACAAAACTTCATCAGAGTTTAGTGAGGAGTCGAACAAGTTTACAACATTACCAACTATGTTATCAGGTGTAGATTAAGGTTGAACAGCTGCGTGAATGTTTACTTCTTTAAGAAACAACTTGCCAGATCACTTGTTTTAAATAAACTTTTATTCAGAGCCTTTCTAGTAGGTTTTTCTTCCACAATATTCATGATTTTTACTCTTTCTTATGCCACTATTACTTCATCAATTCGTTTATGTTTTCAGTATGTTAACTAGTTACCACATTTCAAATTCCAGCGAAATGGGATTTATGGAATTTTAGTTTTTGATCTTGTTGTATTTTTTGATCAATAACACTCCGTATTGCAAAATCCCATAATAATACCTGATAAATATTGGTGGCTTGCAACTATATAAGATATCTTAGTTTAGTAATTTTGTTACTGTTAGCTTCCTTTACAAATTTATTTGTAAATTCTATCAACAATAAATAACAACAGAGATTTCAGTGATAAATTTACATCACAATCCACTAACTTTGCATTTATATGCTTTTATATTATCTTCTTTTGTTTCATTTTCTATTATTGAAACCAGGTCCCAGTCCAACGAACTTACAATGAATGTATCCTTTACGCTTTAAGTGAATGGAGGTGTGCATGTCTTACAACTGTTTTGGTCACAGGTATTATTTTAGTATCATCATGCGGTGTTAAACAACTGAAAAATTACATGAATTCATCTCAGTCAGATACACACTATCCTATTTCATATCATAAATACGATCAAAGTTTTCAATTATTATGTCAAACAAGTTCTCTTCTAATTATTAATGGTTTATTATTTCTAGTCTATTTAATTTATTTAATTGAATCATGGCAATCAAGAAACTGGATTCAAACAACATGGTTAATTGATACAAAAATGGCATATAATTTAATACATAATGCACATAAACTTATTCCTTCTATTCTTTGGCAAATCAAATGTTATCATTATGCTCATAATACACCACAATATTATAATCATTATCAACAGAATCCAATGCAACAATCCATAACATTAAATGAAACTGATTTAAATAAACCAATTAAATATTCATTTATCCAAGATCATTTTAATAATTCAATGAAACAAACAAATACTCAAAATAATCAATATCTATTGAATTCCAATAAGATCCCTAAACTTTTATCTCATTCTATTAATAACACCAATATAAATCCAATTAATGTCATCGTATTATAACAATGAATAAAATGTGTTCATTTGATTTATCTAAAATTGATGCAATATGGGATCTATCAGATAGTATTAGTGAATTAGATAAATTTCAATTAATTGAATTAAATATAAAAACATTATTTAGTTTTTCTGATAAGAAAACTTATTTAGAATATCAAAGACAAAACAAGAATTTTTTACAACTTATGAAAAATTCGATGTTTACATGGAAACTGAACAAAGTTAGTTTATTTTAAAAAAATAAGAAAAAAAGAAGATTCTTATCAGAAGGCGTTTTGTGGATATTATAGTAATTTCAATGGTTAAGATCATGAGTCAGTTGAAGCTAGACCACCATGGAAAACCTGGAAACACTGGACGGCCGTTTCGTCCCATTGTAGGACTCCTCAGCAGTGCGCATCCACGGCCATCCAGTGCATCTAGGTTTTCCATTGTGGTCTAGCTTCAATTGACTCATGATCTCAACCACTGAAAAAGATTTTTCTTAATATTTCAGTATTATTTAACGATGACTGTTTATAGATTAAAAGTTAGACAAAGGTCAAAGGAAAGTTCATTTTCAATGAAATATGTGCTTTATCATAAAATCTAAAATAACGAATAGATATTACATGTATTACTCTACACATGTTTCTTTTTTCAATATAGTCTCGGTTATTCTATAGTTCTGTAGTGAACAGAACACCAGTGGGACAAATGAATGTATTTGACAACAAATTACAGAACTTGTTAGTAGAATCTAACAATCATATATTGAATACTTAATTCGCAAAATGTCCATCAGTTGTCTCAAAATGACTTAGACTTCACTGTTTTTGCATTTCCATACAAATTGAATTCTGTTTCCATTCTTTACTGTTTGATCCTCTTGTCTCTCCACTGCCAGACATTCTGTTCACGACTAACGTCATATACTACTTATGTCCATATAAGTGGCACACACCACAGTTCTTTCGTTTCGTTTTTAGGTTCAAATAGATTAACTGATTATTATGTTTATACTTTATCGTAATTTGATATTAATATTGTGTTTTATCAAACTAGTAGAACAACTATGTGGCATAATCCGTATTATTACAAGCAATAAATGTATCATCAATCTTCGATTTCCTGTTTAAGTTTTGTCTGCTCAAGATTAGCCATAAAATTATCATGCAAAATAGGCCCTAGTGGTGATCCTGTAGGCCAGCTTATCAATATTTCTGCACAACTGATCGTTGAATACGAGTTGAACCCTTTTCGTATATAGTAGTAGTATACTCAACTGATCTTCGTGCAAAGGAAGTGTTTTAGAATGCTGGTATATTAAATTTATAGTTTATTCTATTAGTACATTTATAAATAATAAACAGACATCAAATGATATATCAGATTTATCCGATATATCCACATGATTACTTTCCTCAGAGACGTATAGGCTGCCATTTTTCTGAGAATTAGTTCCAATAATTTCACTTGTCATCAAGCCAGATTATAAGATGGTGAATTTAACTGGTAGTAAAGGGATATTTGATTTGTGGACTTTATGAAGGTCATGCACGAAAGACAAGCCTGTTCCATTAGCTTTAAGTTCATTTTAAGTTGGACAGTCAAACAAATTCTTCTTTAGAAGTTCTTTAAGGTGTTTGGTAATTAAAACTTCAGTTACCACAGTGAAATATTTTTTAGATATATCAACTTTAAGTCTCGAATAATCGTTTAGAACGTGAAGCATATTTTACACGTAGTCGTTTAGATTCATCATACCGATAACTGAACCTTTTACTGTTCTTAGTACAACAACCTTATGATTATTTTGTAAATCTTTTAGTGTCGACTTATGTTGACTTATTTACGCCTGTTACTCGATGTTGTGGAAGAGCATAGGCTCCTCACCAACATTCACCATAGAACTCTATCCTAAGCAATCCTTTCCAATTGCTTCCAGTTGTTATTCACTCTTTTGATGTTTACTTTCAGTTCTCGGTGCAGTGTGGTTTTTGGCCTTCCACCCATCCATTCTAAGCTTGTTCAGTTCTGTATTTGACAAATTATAATTATACTTCTCTGTCAATTCAAGAAAATCTTCATGTGTTAAGTTTTTCACTAAGGATTTCAAAAGTGTACTTTCAACCGATTTGGATGTGTTCATTCGTAGATCTTGAAAAAAACTTAGTGAACTTTGTTTGGCAAACGATATTAAGATCATCCAGGAGCTTATTGAACATAGCTTGGATTTCATAGTTAAAATATACTTATTAGAGCATTCGATATGTGATTTAGCAATTCGGTATAATGTAAATTCAAAGCAGTTTACAACTGATAAGAAGCCTTGATATATAATAAATTCATTTCTACTCTAATATTTAAGATCTAGTTTTTATAAAGTTAATTGTTTAAATACCAACAAAATTTCAGTACAGAATTTACATTTCATATAATTTCAAATTCACTTGCATTATATAGCCTCAAAATAAAATTTCCTAAGTATTATTATTATTTGAAATCATGAGTCGATTTAATCTAGACCATCATGGAAAACCCAGAAGCATTGGACGGCCTATTCGTCCTAGTATGGAACTCCTCAGCAGTGCGCATCCACGATCCCACCACCCGCGAGATTCGAACCTAGAACCTATCACTTCAACTATTGAAATTATTAAAATCTCCATAAAACCCCCTTCTGATATTATTATTATCATGAAATTTTCTAAGCTTATTATATTGGTAAGTTCAAATAATTACATCACTCGATTCCTTTCAATTAACTTCAAAATTATTTAATATCATATTGTATATTTACTTAATAGTGACCATTTCTTTCTTTTACCAATTTTTTTTTCAATAGTTGAAATCATGAGTCAATTGAAGCCAGACCACCATAGAAAACCTGGAAACACTGGACAGTCGTTTCGTCCCACAATAAGACGTCCACTGCTTCGAGATTTTTCATGATGATCTAGCTTCAATTGATTCATGATTTCAATGATTGAAATCTCCACAAAACCCGTTTCTAATAATTTTTGTTGTTGTTTTATTGTTTTCTTTTACAGTTTGTACTTTTACAGATTTTATGAAATTACCTAAAAAATGTCTTATTATTCATCAGTCATCAAAATTACCATTCTATTTAAAAGATCTAACTTATTTAATAGCTACACTTTTATTATGTTCATTACCATTAAGAATTTATATTTATGCAAATAAAGCTAAATTAAATTGTAAAATTCATAAAATATTTGGTTCTAAACCAATAAATCATTCATTAAAATTAATTCCATTAAATACAAATTCATTAATAAATACATTTCCTAATTATACTATACCATCATCATCATTATCATCATTATCAAATCATATCTTAAATGGTACTAATCATCATAACAAATTACATGACAATAATGAAGCTATTGTATTATTTAATAAACATATATTAGATAATACTACTGATTTAATACAAAATTATAATAAAAAACATAAAATGATTTCAAAAGATTCTTATGATTTCAATCATATAAAATATGATAATAAAGTAAATATTAAACATAGTTCTATTGAAGATGAAGATCATGATGATGATGTTGAAGATGAAGATGAAGAAATGTTATCATTGGATATACGATTTGATGAATACATAAAGAATAAATGTATTAAAAATGATAAAAGGAACATAGAAAATCATCATAATCATTATGAATTAAATACTATTTTAAAAAATTCTAATGTTGATGTAAAATCTGTGTGAAATATACTACATAATAGTATTTTTGTTATTAAAATGTATATTGTTTAAAGTTTTAAAGCATATGAATATTTATATGAAGTGAACTCAAAAGATGTAAAGTTATATTAAGAAAGTGTTATATCCGAGCGAAGATTAAATTACGAGTAACTTCTGAGATCTATTAATGAACTATTATTATTTATATATTCTCATGGTGTAAATATTCGGTAACTAGATTATGTATATCTATATTCCCCTTGTTATAAGCTTTATTTTGGCCTATAATTTATTATTGTACGATTTACGGTTCTTAAGCTATGTTCAGTTTATTGACTACTGCCTCCCACGTTCACAGACACATTTGGCCAAATATTGTACAAATGTTATTTTCTATTTTATGGTACGTTGTGGTCTGTCTGGTTAATATATAAACCGAGTATGTTTGAAATAAATGATTCATATTACAGAAGCTGATATGTGTTCTGGACTCGAGCGGACGGGCTAGGAGAACATAGGATCAATAAAGACGCTAGACAGCTTATACCGGTCGAACGTCATTGGTTTGACACAGTGCTAAGATTGCGTAAGTCGTATTTTGATTGGTGGATAAGTCACGTGATAAAGAGCCGGACATAAAATCGTAAAAGAAAGGACATGTGGTTCCGATTTCCATGTTAAAGTTCAATTACGAGTGTAATTAATGTTATATCAAATGGTTATAATAATCATTTCTACATATTTCACACATTTTAAAGCAAATATTTCAGGCTTTTTTCTAAAATAACTCACTTTACAAAAATGAATAAGAACTTTCGTTTAGATTTGATCGAATAGTTTCACAGTATTTGGGCGCTGAGTTAATATGAGACATTAAAGAGGAACAATGTATTTATAAAATCTCCGCGAATGAATTTTGAAGTAACTCCAAGGTTTTGCCTGGCAATCTGATTTCGTTTTCATATTACATGTCTCTTACACAATAATGTAAATACCTACTTTAAACATTGTTAATATTGATTGAATAACTTATTCAGTATATAGTAAACGGGAGAACCTTGTACCTATTTATATTCGGTAATTTCGTTGCTTGATTATATTTCCTTGAAAAAGCTTGAAGCAGATTGCCAGGTGAAACGTTAGATTTACTTCAAATTCATTCGCTGAGATTATACAAATACATTGTTCCACTTTAATGCTTTACAAAAAATGATTTAATCTGCTCAAGATATACTTTATTATTGAAAATCCTTTTTTTCCATTAAACTGCTTGCGTTTTTCTGGTTAGCATTTTTTTGGCGAGTTAGTTCTCTACGGGATGGAGTCGCTAACCACATGCATAATCCCCCCCTTTGTTCGGGCTTGGGACCGGCAATAGTCCCAGAGGGGCTCCAGGTGAAGTTACTAAACTGCTTGAGGCAATACTTTTTCTTCGGTATTCATTTCCAGTTTATGAAAGCAGTCTATTGCAAATGAAGTAAGAACTTATAGCATAATTTAATAATGTAGAAACATTTTCTGTTTCTGATATATCTTTAAATAATGATTATTATCAGATAAATGGTTATATAAGAAAGTCAAAACAATTGTTGATTGCTATTTGTAAGGCTCGAGCTTTGATTTATGTATGTTACACATAATATCATGTGAAACAAATGATTACAGAGCATGTAAGATATTTTTTTAAATGTTGTTTTAGGTTCTTCATAGTTGCATCTAATTTATTCAAGTAAGTAGGTACAATCATAGTAGAAACAATAATCACCTGACAAATTATTCACCTTCCATATTGTTCTTGAGCCATAATGCTTAAATTGACCACAGTAACACGTTAATGAACACCATAATATTGTGTTGAATAAGATTATTAGATATTTGTCTAAGAACTAGTCTGGAGAATTACGAATGTCTTGAAAATGTTATTACTGAATTATTTATCCTGTCTATTAGGCGTTCAAATACAAGGCAATACTAGGCATTGTAATCAATTATGTATAATTCGTATTGAGTGTAAGTGAGTTCACTGGTCATCTGTTTACTAGGAAATTTAATTAATACATCAAACTGGATTTTCTTAACTGACTAGTTTACTGGTGTTCTTTATAAAATGCGTTATTTTTTGGGTTTCATGTAAACACTACTCTCTTTCTCTCCATTCAATAGGTTTCAATAAAGTAGTCCTTTTCATTCAAATAAAGAAATCGCATGACATATAATGCAACATAGTCACTGTTAAAAGCTTGTGCTGGTAGTTGAATCAACTGAATCTATCTATATGATATATTACAAAATACATATTACTCTGATCATTAGTTTTTAAATTACTGTATATAACGTCTTAATCTTCATAAGAAAATATAAGCGAAATACTGGTGATACACAAAGTTCCCTTAGTTTGAAATTGGACAAAGCATCTTGTAAACACTGTGATGTTTCACAATTATGAACAAAGTTTACAATACAGGAAAACTCAACAGTCAGTCAGTCAGTAACAACGTCAAATAAAAAAAGAAGAGGAAAAGTTTTCTTCATTGTAAAATACTCGAAACAGTTTACTACTTTATAGGTGGAATCATGAGTCAATTGAAGCTAGACCACCATGAAAAACCTGGAAGCATTGGACGTCCGTTTCGTTCTAGTGTGGGACTCTTCAGCAATGATTTCAACTACTGAAATTAATAAAATCTCCACAAATCCCATTTTGATATTACTTTATACTTGCATAAAATAATTTAGGATAAAATAAAAATGAATTTTCGCTTAACCAGCTTCTGTGTCTAGAATAGATGATTAATTAACGCTTCCAAATAAAGACTTGAATATATGAAAAGTAAACTAAAAAGTGAAAAAGGAATTTTGGTAAAGTAGTGAACAATATTCTCTTAGAGTATTGAGGATCTGTTATGTTACTTTTCTGGAAGACTTTTTTAAAATTATTTGGAATATCTGAGATGACAAGTTGATTTCTTAGTTATTGATGTAGTGAACAGAACACCAGTGGGGACAATTGAATGTAATTAACACTAAATTACAGAACATCTCAATAAAATCTGAGAACCATTTAGTATATCTTTCATTTGCGAAATATTAATCTATCATCTCAAACTTGACTGTTCCTGTTGCAAACAGCAATCCATTGTCCCAGATCTTATTGCTCATGCGTTTTCATATTATTCACTTTCGTTCCCGTTCTTTCCTCATCGACCTTCTAGTGAAATACATTATATGCCTGACCACCGTTTTATACTACTTGTGTGAACATAAGTAACCCACGCCACAATGATAGCGATATTGAGATATCCGTGATAATAATAACTAATGTAACCTGATAAATGGTTAATATTTCGATGCGAAAGTACCCTATGTATTGATATGAACAATGAAGCTAGTAAAAATATAAGAAAATAATATTTGTTAATAATCAAAATGATGTAGATGGAATGAAAGCATTTTTGATTTATTATGCACATAATAAGCTGAGAAAATACGAAATTATAAATCGATACATCATCAACAGTCAGTATAAAGTGTATTTTCTTACCTGTGGTTTAGATGTTAAACGAATGATAAAACTATCATAGTACCCATAGATAAGTCTTAAGTTTATACTTGTGTCTACTAAGCAATCTAAATTCAAAATGCATTTTCCGTTGTATAAATGGTATATATAAGTTTTTCTATCATGTATTCTTACACAAACAACGTTTCTGACTGAATTGGAGGAATATATTGTTTTGAATGTTACACATTTGACCTGAATTACTCCAAACTTGAAAAATTCATAAATATCAAATAAAGCATTTGTCTCTGCTTCAAGCACTCAAACGTTATAGTAATTGGTTTTTACATAATTATATAGTCAGTAATTTGTTTGTTTAGAAAAACTCAACTTTACATTAAAAATTACCACTTTTGGTTTTTTTTAGTATTTAAACACAAAATATAAAACAGATTTCCAACATATTTAAGGTTCTGTAGACATTAGCAGAAAACAGTTCTGTCGTTCAATTATCTTTGCGATGTAACAAGAAATAGGCTATTTAGTAATACAATTTGATATTCATAGGGATTTGTTTAATTGATCCCACTGAATTAAATATAAATACAAATAATGTACTATTTTATATATAATTATATCATTCACCAAAAGTGCTTGCTTTAGCTACCTTTCTGATGGCATATTCATGTTGCTGATTGCTACACTGACCTTTTTAAAACTCATCGTTCAATTGTATCATAATAACCCGGATTATAATACTTTTCGAACGCAACTGTTTAAATAGAAATCCCTTTCACTGATTACGGTATACAGTAAAGTTGTATGGTGTTTAAATTTATTTATAAAGTAAATAAACGTTGAAAGTGATAATCATCAATTTAAACTGTTAATATTCACGATCGTGCTTGGTATTAAACCTAGGCATTCAGATATCATCATTATATATATAAAGAGCTCCTGAACTAAAACAACTGCTCAATGCTTATTGAGTTTCAAAGTCATCCAGTCTAAGATTAGTCCACAATGAAAATAACTTTAAATTACATTATCTTCACAAACCTTTAGTTTAAAGTAGTTGGAAATCAACGATATATATTTTCAAGAAACTTACTTTTGTTTCTATGTGAACTATTGATAATAAATCAAAAATTGTAATTATTTGAATAGACATTTATGCTGTACGAAACAAATAGAGCAAGTTGTAAGATCAGAAAAAACTAATCACACTTATGTTGACTACTACAATACATTCACAAATCTAGTTCATTTGAGCACTTAATAGTCAAAATGGATTTTTAATAAACGATCAGATCAATATTATTTGTGAAAACTATATTTGGAATAATCTCTATGATTGAAATTTAAATAATTTCAACTTTTCATCGAACAAACTTGTGCCGACTTCTTCAGGGTAATAATCAGAATTCTTTGATTCTTACATTGGAGAAGTCCGAACAATTTTGGAAGGTGAAACATTGGAATTTTTTAAATATCAATCACTGTGATTATATTAAATATAACTTTCAGAAGTAATGTCTTCTATATATCCGGCACCCGATTTGTCAAACTATTCGTATAAAATCAGATTCATAGCTATATTCTATTCCAATTTTAGCTATCAAAATATATTACTGGTTAGTAAATGAATTTTCAAATATTGATTTCTTTATGATATGAAATTTATATTTGAAACTTATTTGCTTACTTATACCTGTTACTCGCAATGGAACATAGGATGCCGACCAGCATTCTCCAACTCACTATGTCCTGGACCTTCCTTTCCAGTCCTATCCAATTTTCGTTCTATTTTCT